AAACTCATTTTGTGCTCTCTTGGCAAACTTCTTGAAGCATGAAGCAACCTCGGTCTTGTCATGAAGGAAGAACACCCATGTATATCTTGAGTAGTCATCAACAATCATAAGACAATAAAGATTTTCTCCTAAACTCTTGTATGTTGTTGGTCCAAATAAGTCCATGTGAAGGAGCTCTAGCACTCTTGTAGTTGACATGAAAGCTTTTGTAGGATGAGTGTTTGCAACTTGCTTACCGGCTTGACATACACTACAAAGCTTGTCCTTCTCAAATTTCACATCCTTCAACCATCTCACCAATTCATTCTTCATAAGTTTCTTGAGTGAAATCATCCCAACATGAGCAAGTCTTCTATGCCATAGCCACCCAAGTGATGTTTTGGTGAATAGGCATGTCTTCAAGTTAGCAACTTCGGAGGTGAAATCCACTAGATATAGGTTGTTGTATTTAAAACACTTGAATATAACTTGATCATCATCTTTCTTAGATACAACCACTTTCTTCTCGGTAAACTAGCATTGGAAGCCAAGATCACACAATTATCCAACGGATAGCAAGTTGAAACTCAAATAAGCAATATATAGCACATTTGAGATAGAATGATCATTTGATATTGCCACTTTACCCAATCCTTTGACTTTGCCCTTTGAATTATCTCCAAATATATTTTTTTCTTGGCCATCTACTTCTTCATCTAGTGAGGTGAACATATGAGGATCACCGGTCATATGTTGTGTGCAACCACTATCAATTACCCAATGACTTCTACCGGTCTTGTAGTTCATCTACACACAAGAGATCAAGCTTGTTTAGGGACCCATACTTGTTGAGGGCCCTTGACTTTCTCTACTAGTGACTTTGCAACCCAAATTTTCTTAGGCCTATTCTTGTTGGGAGGTTTTAAGAACATGACTTTCATTTTACCACTAGAGTCCTTTCTAAGCATGTAATGAGCATTGAAAGTAAAAGGTCTAGCATGCTTGTGCAAGGGTTGTGGTGGTGGAGTTTGACACTCATTGGCAAAGTGACCTTGTCCACACTCAAAACACCTCTTTGGCTTTGGCTTTGACTTGTGTTGTTGTTGTTGAGCTTGAGCCTTCATCTCTTGATTTGCCAAATACCCAATTCTCCTCCTATCCATCTTCATGATGGTGTTTATTAGTAGCTCACTTTGAAGATGTTGACCTCTTGTGAATTTGCTCAACCCGGTCTTGAGGTGTTCTTTATCTAGCATGAGCTTCTTGTTCTCTTCTTTGAGTTCATCTTGATTTTTCTCTTTCTTGAGCCTCTTGTTCTCTTCTTTGAGCTTCTCATTCTCAAGAGCTAGATCACTATCATGGTCAAGGTTCTCTAACACAATGGTGTTGGTGGTTGATAGCTTTTCAAGATCTTTCTTGAGCTTCTCATTTTCATTCTTGATCTTGACATATTCGTCATAGTTATTGGACTCAACCACTTGCTTGTCTTTACTACTAGAACCTTGCTCAATGCTCTCAATAATCAAATCATCACATGATGTAGCTATATCAATCTTAACAACATCATTAGTAGCATCATGTGGCTCATTGGATAAAAACTCATGAGAGATAACAAGATTATCATGATTAACCTTAAGGTTGGTATACTCTTCTTTTAGCATGTTATAGCTAGTGATGAGCTCATTATGTATCCCCTCAAGTTTATCATGTTTTTCTTTAAGCTCTTTCTTAGAAGATTTGAGCTCCTTGAGTTTAGATGACATAGCATCATTTACTTCTCTAAGGTCAACACTAGCCTTTTTCGCTATGTCACATGTAGCTAAAAGAGAATCATTCTTAAGTTCTAGCTTTTTATTCTTAGCTCTTGACTCTCTAATGATCTTAGTGTATTGATTTAGCAATTTAACAAGATCATCATATAAAGGTGATTTAAATTCATCATCATCACTATCACTATCATCATTGCAAACATTTTCATCACCACTACTTTTATCATCATTTGATACTTTTCGTTCACCCTTGGCCATAACGTATAGGTGTGTAGAGGATGATAGCGGTGGTGTTGGTGAAGATGATGAAGAGTCAATCATAATAGCGGCCACCTTCTCATTCTCACTATCATCATCGGATGAGCAACTTGATGAATCAATATCCGTGAGCCAATCACCGACGATGTATGCCTTGTCATTCTTCTTCTTCTTGTGGAAGTCCTTCTTGCCATCCTTCTTCTTGTATGGCTTGTTTTTCTTCTTCTCATCTTCATCTTCATTACTTGAGTCATCTTTCTTGCCCTTGTACTTGTCTTTCTTGGGCTTGGGGCATTGATGAGCTAGATGACCAAGTTCTCCACAATTATAGCAATCCATCTCCGAGATTGGCTTCCTTCTATTGCTAGTGAAGAACTTATTTTTCTTGCCATCAAACTTGATGTCATTCTTGTTTAGCTTCTTAAGCATCTTGGCGGTTCTTCTCACCATGAGAGCAAGACTTGCATCATCAATTTCATCATCACTTGAGCTCTCATACTCAATTCTTGCTTTGCCCTTCTCTTGGCTAGCCTTGAATGTCAAGTCTTTGTCTTTCTTCTTGGTAGAGGATGAGCCATCTTGTGGTGTGATGTGCATGTACATCTCATGAGCGTTGATCTTTTCCAAGATTTGAGTTGATGTAGCGGTGGAAAGATCACCTTGATGAAGCACGGTCACAATATGCTCATATTTGTCAATGGGGAGGACACTCAAGATTTTTCTTACAACATCGGATGGTTGCATTTGAGTGAGTCCAAGCCCATTGACTTCCTCTATAAGAACATTTAAGCGTGAGTATATTTCATTAGCACTTTCTTTCGGAAGCATCTCAAATGAATTAAGCTTTTTCATAACAAGATGATATCGTTCCTCACGCTCGCTCTTAGTTCCCTCATGGAGCGCACAAATATCCGACCATAGTGCATGGGCGTTCTTGTGGTTCCTCACCCGGTTAAACACATCTTTACAAAGTCTTCTAAAGATGGTGTTTCTAGCCTTTGCATTCCATTTTTCGTAATTCACTTCATCGCCTTGAAGGTGCGTGGGATCCCTAGGTTTTGGGAAACCTTGAGAGGCGGATCTAAGAATTCAAACATCTAGAGCTTCTAAATACGCTTCCAGGCAGATTTTCCAATAAGGAAAATCATCTCCCTCAAAGATAGGAGGAGGTTCATCCCCGTGGGACATCTTTCTCTAGGCGGTTAAGCCTAAATACGTGAGCACGAGGCTCCGATACCAATTGAAACGATCAAGATGCCCAAGAGAGGGGTGAATTAGGCTAATTCTAAAATTCTTTACAATAAATAAACCCTACACTTAGCCCACTTTACCCTTTATGTCTAGAAAGTGAATCTATTGATCTACCACACAAAAGTTTAGCACCCTAAGTTCCAATCCTACTTTAGCATGGCAATTCTAAGAATGTAAAGACAAGAATTGAATTGCTCAAAAGTAAATGCTCAAAGTAAAGAGAGGAAAAGGAACGCGGTGATGTTTTACTGAGGTATCGGAGAGTCGCCACTCCCCATTAGTCCTCGTTGGAGCACCTGCGCAAGGGTGTAGTTCCCCCTTGATCAGCGCAAGGATCAATTGCTCTCTACGGGTTGATTCTTCGACACTCCGTCATGGTGAATCACCCACACACGCTCACAACTTGAGTTGGGTCATCCACAAGCTCCGCCTGATGATCACCAAACTCTCAATCACCACCAAGCCGTCTAGGTGATGGCGATCACCAAGAGTAACAAACAAGAACTCTCACTTGACCACAACAAGCCTAATGAGAAGGGTGGATGCACACTTGCTACTCTCTTTTCACTAATGAGGCTTTAATCTTGGATTCTCAAATCTCAATCACCTCACTAGGCTCTTGCTCTCCTTGGCACTCTCAAGGGTGTTTCTCAGCTGTTGAAATGGGCAAGAGTACTCCCTTGAATGAATAGAGGAAGTATTTATACCCCCTCATTCAAAGTAAAATGTTATGTGCCTGAGTTAGCACTCTGCGGGGTGATCGGACGCTCCGGTCAGGGTGACCGGACGCTCCGGTCAGTTCTCCCTGGCACAGAGCCGTTAAGTTGTGACTGGACTCTGACCTGCGCCCGGTCACGAAAACTGCTCTCTGGAACCTTACTGATGTTGACCGGACGCTGGAGCCCAGAGTCCGGTCGCTTCGCTGTTCAGCGTCCAGTCAGTAACGGGAACCTGACCAGCATCCCGTCAGCACTGACCGGACGCATTCGATCAGGATTCTCCCTCTCTGGAACCTTACTAGAGTTGACCGAACTCTGGCACCTAGCGTCCGATCACTTTTCACTCAGCGTCCGGTCGCATCTAGACGACTTAACTTGATCAAATGAACTGACCGGACTCTACTGCCAGCGTCTGGTCACACCGGAACCAGCGTCCGGTCAACATTTGACCCTCCATTCACTTCCAACTCGAAATCATATGTGAATAAAGTTTGCTCCAATTGATCTTAGGGCTACTTCGGAGCTACCTAGTGCTAGATTTGACAAGTGTGCACCACACCTAACCCATTAGACTCACCTAGGTCAAGCTACTAGTCCATACCCCCTTAATAGTACGGACAAAGGAAAAATAAAGTCCTAAACTACTCTAAGTGTCTCTTCAACACCAAACGACACTTAGAACTAGTCCATCCTTAACCTTGTTGTCCATCCTTTGAAAACCGAAATGATTTCCGTCGTAGGGGCATGGCAATCATGAATGCCCAATCAATTGTCATTACCATGACCTAACCTAATTACCTCTGCAAAACACATGTTAGTCATAGTAATCACGTATTGTCATTAATCACCGAAACCCAACTAGGGGCCTAGATGCTTGCACCGGGGTCTCTGCTTCCGCTACGGCGAGAAGTGATCTTGTGATCACCGTTGCCCAGAGAAGATTCAAGTACATGTGTTATAGGAGGTATGTGATCTTTGTCATGATGATGTTAGTGATGACTGTTGTGATGATAACCCTTTTTAGGACCAAGTTTTGGTAGTGGAGGTTCTGGCAGCATCTACTGGTCAGACTCCAGCCTGGGCTATTTTGCTCAGTGGTACTGTTCAAGGGCGATCAGTCACTATTCTCATGGACTCTGGTAGCTCTTGTTCATTTCTCAGTGAGTCCTTGGCAGTTCATCTTTCTGGGGCTTCTCAACTGAACAACACACCCAAGGTTCGTATTGCGGATAGCAGTTTGGTTTCTTGTTTTCTCGGGTTCAAGACCTTGCAGTGGGAAGTGCAAGATACGGTGTTTTAGTCTGACTTTCTTGTGATGCCTTTACCATTCTCTGATATGATTTTGGGCATGGCCTGGTTAGCTTCCTATAGTCCAATGCAGATTGACTGGGAACATAAGTGGTTGATTCTACCGTATGGTCAGTCCTCTGTGCGTCTGCAGGGCCAGTTAACTGAATTACCAGTGGGTTCAGTCATTCAAGTAGCAGCAGTATACTCTAATTCTGATACTTCTTCCCCACCAGTGTTGCCTCCTGAGGTGTCCAAGGTCCTCCAAGAGTATCAGATAGTTTTTTCTCCACCTGTGGGATATCCACCTGCTCGCCAATTTGAACACCCCATTCCTCTAATGCCGGGTGCAACTCTAGTTCAGGTGCGACCATATCGGTACCCTCCATCAGTTAAGGATGAGATTGAGCATTAGGTAGCAGAAATGCTAGCATCTGGTATCATTCAACCAAGCACCAGCCCGTTTTCTTCAGCAGTATTGTTGGTCAACAAGAAAGACGGAACGTTTTGTTTTTGTGTTGATTTTAGGCATCTCAATGCCATCATGGCTAAAGCTAAGTACCTAGTTCTGGTGATAGAGGAATTGCTTGATGAACTCACCGGTGCCTCCTGGTTCACATGTTTGGATCTTACTACTGGGTACCATCAGATACGGTTATAGGGGCGAAGAGCCGAAGACTGCTTTTCAGACTCATTCGGGCCAATATGAGTTTAGGGTCATGGCTTTTGGGTTGATAGGTGCCCTGGCTATGTATTAGAAATCTATGAACACAACGCTAGTATGTTACATTGAAAAGGGTTTCTGGTGTTCTTTGACGACATTTTGATATACAGTCGCTGCTTTGAGGAGCACATTGCTCTTTTGCGTCAAACCTAGAACTGTTACGGAAGGACTAGTGGCAGGTGAAACTTTCCAAATGTGTTTTTGCTCAACAGCAATTGAAATACCTTGGGCAAGTGGTTTTCTGAACAGGGAGTGGCAACCGATCTAGAGAAAGTGCAGGCAGTTACCCAGTGGCCAGTTCCTACATCTGTTAAGTACTTACGCAGCTTTTTGGGCTTAGCTGGTTATTACCACCATTTTGTGAAGCATTTTGGCATCCTGGCTTGGCCTCTAAATGATTTGCTCAAGAAGGGTGCTGTTTCGCTTGGACTTCAGTCCATGATCAGGCGTTTCAGAGTTTGAAGGATGCTTTGATCTCAGCACCGGTGTTGGCACTGCTAGATTTTTCTAAGCCCTTTTGTTTCGAAACCAATGCGAGTGGAACTAGGATTGGGGCTGTCTTAACCCAGAGTGGTCACCCCCTGGCCTACCTAAGTAAATCACTAAGTCCTCGTTCTCAGGGTCTGCCCACTTATGAAAAGGAACATTTGGCCATTTTGCTTGCTCTAGATCATTGGTGTTGTTATCTTCAGCATGTTGAGTTCACCATCTTAACCAATCACAAGAGCCTAGCACAGTTGACTGAGAAGGGTCTTCACACCCCGTGGTAGCAAAAGGTGTTCACAAAGTTGGTGGGGCTACAATACAAGATTGTTTATCATTAGGGAACTAACAATCATGTCGCTGATGCCCTTTCTCGGCTCTCTTCTTCTCATTGTGTGGCGGTTTCGGTTGCTCAGCCACAGTGGCTTTCCAAGGTTCTGGCATCCTATTCTGCTGACAGTCATGCCCAGGGGCTGCTTACCAAGTTGGCTGTTGATTCCAATGCAGTGCCTCACTATACATTGTGAGATGGGTTGCTTCGTTATGAGAAGCGCGTGTGGGTCGGTCAAGACATGGACCTGCGGCAGAAACTCATTGCAGCCATGCGTTCTAGTACTGTGGGAGGCCATTCGGGTATTCCAGTCACTTACAGATGCCTTAAGCAGTACTTTTCTTGGTCTGGCATGAAATCTTCAGTTCAGAGGTTTTGTCCAGGCTTGTATCACCTGCCAGCAAGCTAAGCCGGACCATTCTCGCTTACCTGGTCTGTTACAACCCCTACCGGTGCCCGACCGAGCTTGGAAGGTAATCACCATGGATTTCGTGGAAGGTCTTCCTTTATCTAGTGGCTTTAATTGTGTCTTGGTTGTGGTGGATGTAACACCCTAGTGTTAAGCATTGCATTTGGTACTTGCATTTCATGAGTACAAGCATCATCCAAGCATTCATGAGCATGAGCACATGAAGTTTCATTTCATTCACCTTATCTATATCACATGTGATGTTGATTATATACATGCATATCCTTGTGATCATGTGTGACCAATGCAAGAGATGGTTGTGAGGTCACAAAAACACCTTAGACACATTTAGGATGGAAAATGGAACAATGTTTGTATTCATGACATGAGCCAATTTTGCTTCTAAGTCATAGTTTACTCAAAACTTCATTTTTCATGATACTACTTTGATTAGAGTTGAACTATAGCATAGAGTGTTTGCATGGCAGTGCACCCTTAATAAAAGTTGTAGCTCTTGACATGGGTAACAAACTTTATTTAAGGGTCATGAACTAATTTAGTGTCTAACAGTCAAAAACAGCTCTAAAGTAGCAATCAAATGCTGTTTTGAGGACTTAGAAATTTTGCTAAGTCAAAAAGCTGTTTATAGTTTCAAGTGACCTACTTTGGAGCATTGTAGTTTGAAAACCATTGCGAATTAGACAAAACTCCTTTAAGCAATCTTGTAGTATTCATGTAGCTCTACAATTTCTATTAAGGAAATTTTTGCAAACTCGAACTAGTTTGGGAGATCTAGGGGTTCAAAGTTGCTCTATCAGTCGGCTCCTCCACCGTCTGAACGGGCCGGGGCAGCAGCCATCGTGGCCGACCGGACATAGGCCGCGGCCACCACTTGGCGTCCGTACGCCGGCGCCGGCCCCGTGCGCCAGGCCGAAGCGGGCAGAAGAGGGCGCCGTGTCGCGCTCTCTCTCTCTCTCTCTCTCGCTCATACTCTCTCTGCCTCGCCTCGCTCTCGCTCTCTCTCTCCCGCAGACGAGTAGTGCCATCACCGCCGTGCCTTCGCCGAGCTCGTGCGCACCACCTCGCTGCGACCCGCTCTACCTCCCCGACGCGCCATTGTGACCGTTCGAGCCCAGGTGAGGCCACATTGTGCATCGCCGTCGCTGCCATGGTCGCGGTGCGCTGCCAAGCATGGGCTCGCTCGTGGCCAGCCACCACTATTGCTTCTCCGACCTCCCTCTCCCTCAGTTGGTCATCGCTGTAGGTTTGAGAAGCTAAGGCCGCAGCCCGCTTAACCGCTACCGCCATGTCGGTGTAGGAACGCGCGTTCGTGCTGTTCGCGTCCGCCATGGCCGCGAGCATGAGCTCGCCACGGCCGTCCCTAATCAGTCCCCGTCATCCCCCTCTAGCACGTGTTTTAGCACCACCGTGAACCCTAGCAACTTATCCCACGATGGAGACCCGTCACCGACCGCCATTTTGTCGGAACAGTGACCTCACCATCGCCGCGCTCGCGCCACTGTGCCGCCATGCACGTGGCCATGCCCCTCTAAAAGGTCCTTGTTGGTTTTGGTAATTGAATGACAACCTAGGTGGACTAATTGTGTTTATGTGAGATACACAGGTGATTAGTCCACAGGTACATGTGTATGAGCAACATATGCCATGGAGGTGAAAATGGCTTGGAGATGTTGCAAAGCTCACACATGTGATGATGAAGGAGCTTATTGCACATGAGACATGACATTGAGTCATGTGATCAAGGTGGAGAAGATCAAGACAAGACTTGGCTTGATGGACCGGTTGTAAGTGTGAAGGGCAAGTCAAAGGCTTTGAGTGATGGACGCGTGGCGGTGAAGCTTGAGCAAGACTTGGCGCCGATGGACGATATAGCAACGGTGAAGAGCAAGTAGAGTCAAGATCAATGAACCAATATGATCATATGATGATATGAAGTGGATCATATCATTGTTGATCGTGTTGGTGCATGTGTTGCATCGACATTGAAGGAGATGGAATGGAATGCGCAAGGCAAAGGTATAACCTAGGGCATTTCATTTCACCGGTCATAGGTGTGTAGAGAAGTTTATGACCGGGTTTAGGATAGATGGCCGTACTATCAAGAGGGGCAAACTTGTTTGCATATCGGTCATCTAGTGCCACTCGAGTGATCTAACTTTGCATTGTCGCTAGGATCGAGTGGCGTGGCAAGTTGAGTGGCTAACATCCTTTGGGAAATGATTGTGAAAATGCTAACACACATACACATGGTGGTGTACACTTGGTGGTGTTGGCACATTTACAAAGGAGGTGGTGTTTGTTTGGGGTGACATGGGTTTGGGTCCCTCTCTCCTCCCCGCCGAGCTTATGAGGTAGGGATTCGGCGCTTTCGGGAAAATAGAATGCCTATTTTCTATTGCGCCGGATACAAGTTCTTGTGGTTAGCACATTGGAGCAAGGGTGATGAAGTTAGAAGTGAAAACGAGTTAGTTGCGAAGATGCTGGCGTCGGTCAACTGATCGGACGCTAGATCTGAATGCACCGGACGTGAGAATGCACCGGACATTTGGGTTGCGTCCGGTCAGCCGACGACGGCGACGCATAAAGGCGGAGTGTGACCGACGCTGGTCGCGATCGATCAAGTGTGACGGACGACGCGTCCGGCCGAGGTCGGTACCTTCTTGGAAATGACCGGACGCCGGGGTTCAGCGTCCGGCCATTGAAAGCTGCTGCGTCCGGTCAAGTCAAGTGACCGTTGGAACCGGACACGGGGCGTCGTCTGGGGCGACGGACGCCGAGGTCAGCGTCCGGTCAACACGATCGAGCGTCCGGTCGGCCCGACCGCTGCCCAAATGAAGGGTAACGGCTAGTTTAGCCCTTGGGGCTATAAATAGAAGTGGCCCTCGGCCATGGTGGTGCCGAGCACCTAAGGGGACTTAGTGTCCATGCTTGTGAGTGCTTGGGAGCCTCCATCACACATATACTTGATAATGATCATTCGATTGTGTGAGTGAGCGATTCTAGTGCGATTGCATCGTGAGGTTGCATCGAGTGGCACTAGGTGGT